TCATTAATACTTTGAGCATCTGAATTGTGAAATTCAAACAATGTAGAAAGCTAAAAAAACTTAAGATCGTAAACTTTAAAACTTTCTAATAAATTTCCACCGAATATAATTTATGTTTATTAAAACTAAATAAATTTAAATTGTTTTATCACTCTAAGCACTTTATACATCAAAGCATTCTCTGATCAATCATCACTTAGAATTCCGTATTTATGTGATTATTAGTTACCTTTATTTACATTGATTTAATGATACAAAAATATTTTCCCTTTAAATGTTGCTAAACCTTTAGCTAATATATTTTCTAGTTTCGTTAGACGCAATAAAATATGACAAAATTTGGACATTTTAAACAAATTTTAAATTCAATCTATGATAATAATTATAATAATTCTTTTAATTCAAAAAGTTTTAGCTTTCCCTTTATAAAATGATTTAAAGGGTTTTTATAGTGTATTTAATACTTCAATGGCTAAACAGACACGCTTATAAATTATCTTTATAACGTTTTGTCTATAAATATAATCAGCTTTTAATTAACATGTCTTAATTTATAAAACAGTTTATTTATACAGAAAATAGCTTGAAATCTTTATAATGAAACTATCAATATCAAGAAATTTTACAGAGGAAAAGATCTTTAATTAACATTGTTTTATTTTTAATCATCAGTACTTAACTTTTTCAAATTCAAAAATTCCCCAAATATTTCATTTCATTTCACTTGAATGTCGTCAACCTAGTCACGCTATTGCAAAATGTCATTTCTCTAAGCAAAAGATACTCGTATTAAGAGAGAGAATTAGATAACACCCTTTTTTAAACTTGGAATACAAATGTAAAGACTGTATTTGTTTAAAAAATAAGAATAAAAGTTGTTGAAATAACTTTTCACTATTACAGTGAAATGCCTCATAATTTTCAGAAAAGAGATAATGTTTTCATCTTTTACTGATAGTGTAAACAGCTGAATCAAAATGACAACCTGAATAATATCGTTTAATTTTCAAAGAACATGGCCACTACATCTCAATCAGAGAGATCGCAACAGTTTATTGCCTCTGTGCACATATGTTTTATAATGCAAACATCTATCTAACATGGTAAAAAGTTGTACTACGGAGTTTGGAATAAATTAAAATAAAGGAAAGTTTCTAAAAAAAAGTGGTTGTTTGAATATTATGTTTTTATTATACGCGTGTGGCATCAGTGCAGCTTTATTTAGTGCCTAATAATGATATAGATCAAGCAATCGAAAATAAATGGCAAAAACGTGTATTACTGTACTAAATGTATATTACAAGTTTTATAACGTGAATAAAATTTTGAGATATTTGATACAAAAGACGAGTTGCTATAGAGATAAATAAAATAAAACTAAAACTATTTTTTTAAAAAAAACAGTACTGCTTTTCTAACTTGAGCGTTTGTTCTATTCAAGACATAGTTGTAAATCATTGTTAATATAATTTAAGAAAAATAAGAGCAGAGATTTTTTTCAAAGTACATGAGGGCTTTTTACCTGAAAAGTAACATATTAATTGCTTTTTTAAATCAAAATGAGCCATTGCAACCGAATGATTTCCTATTATTCGTTAATGATTAGTGAGCTATTTGATTTGAATATTTTTAATTTAAAAATGGACTGGAATAAAATGCTTAAAGAAAAAAATTAGACTCCTTGTAAGAAAACATTTATATTTACATTAAAATATTTTACCAATCATAAATTCTCTAAATATCAAACGATGAAATATAATTTAAACTGATTCTGCCTTTTCTATTTGTATGAATTTCATTAATTTCTTAAGGTATTTAAATTATAAAATAAAATATTTTAATTTAGTTTACATATAAACAAACACTTAGTTCTTGCTTTCTCTTACCTATAATGGTTACTTTTAAGTATTATTTTTAAAACTGAGAAGTAAAAAGAGGTATTATATACACTTTCCTCGATTTTATTTAAAATATATGCTTATAGCTATTTTAAAATAATGGTTTATATAATTACTCATGCATCGACCCAATTTTGCTCATTTTACTAGACATAAATCCTGTAATATTAATTAGAAATTTAAAACTTCTGAACTCTTTGTGCTGTGAAAAAAAGTATACACAATAATATTCTTCAACCTTCTTTTGCTACAGATACATTTTTATCACCGAATTTTTCTATTCTGAATATGAAATTCTTTATTATTTAAATGGGTTTTTTTAAGTATAATTCTAAATTTATATATAATTTCTTCTAACTATAAATTCATTTTAAACGTTTTATAAGTTTACATCATAATCAAAAACACTTATTTAATTTATATATACATGCATATAAAACAAAAATATGATTACTACATTAGTTTAAATATATATATTCATATTTTATTTTCCAAATAATACTCTTTTTTTTAAAGAATCCATGCATAACGCAGTTTATTATAAATGATTTGTAGTAGTGTAAAATATTAAAATCTTTTACAAGAAATTTTTTTAATTCTGTTAGAGGTTATTTAGATGAGCGAAAAAGTGAAAAATAAACTTAATTTGTATAGTCTATTGAGAGATTTCAAATACTTCTTAAAATCCTGACATTTTAAATATTTTCTTTTTTCTTTAAAAAAATCATCTGCTTTTGTTAGAACAAAATGATACTCGAATTTCTTTTATGGGATGTTGACAACAATCGGAATTTAATCCCGATGACGAGTAAATACATTTGTGATAAATATTTTTATAAAAAGGTTTTTAAAAGAAAAATATGTACAGAAAACACAAATAAAATACAGCATTGAAAAACTGTGTTTGAAAAAAGCAATCTTAAGTTATTTTCGGTACTTTTAAAAGGCTTCATAAAGTGTAAATAGTTACATAAGGGATGTGAAACTACACATTTAGGAGGTTCTTGGAAATTTTCTCAAAACTTGAAAATATAGTTAAGTTCATAATTGGAAATACCAATTCCAAATTTCATTCTTAAGATTATAATTTGTCATTCGAAGCGTCAGGAAATTAATGTCAAAGATATTTATATATACGTATAGATTAAGGAGTTGAAAAAAAACATTGGGTAAATAAACTATTGTCAGTATTGAAATCCTTTATCATTGGATGCCTATTTTCTAAAATCCTAAAGAGTTGTTTAAGTCCTCAAATGATAGTTTAAAAAAAAATTCAAAAAAAAAATTCTTCAAGATAGTTTTTAACCAAGAATTGCGAGTTAGAATCTTCAACACTTCCAAAAATAATCCTTTGCAAACTTCAAAGAATTTATGCTACGAGTTAATTTGAAGCCATATTGTCAATAGTAACGATTGTAAAATTTAAAACTCGTTGTTCTCAGCTAATTGGTTTTAAAAGAAATTTCTTTACCATCAGAAATAACTGAATGATAATAATGAAGCTATTTATTAAAATAAAAAAATTACATTTTGGAAAAGACGAGAAGTTTTGTTTTATAGAATAATCGTCAGAAAACGCATATATCGTTCTCTGTAAGTTCTGTATTAGTACATCTATCATGTATGTTTAATTTTTTTAATGTTATATATTACATGTATAATTTTCTTCATTTTTTAATAATATTTTTTAAAATGATAAGAACATGAATACATACATATACCCCCCTTCACTAAAAAATCTGAAAAATAAATTGATTTTCATAAAAATATTTTTTAAACAAGACTATTTACTAATGTGTGTTATAAAAATATTTTTCCAATAACATTTGTTTTTACGTTTAAAAAAATACTTGCATTAAAGATTTCTCAATTTTTATTTTAAACATTCCCCAATTCCTTCAATTTTACGCGATAAATGAATATTTTTCTGGTATATTTACGCAAACACTTTCCTCTACTAAATTTTGCATAACAAAGCAGAACAATAGAAAAAAAAGGACGCGATAAAATTACCTCTCCAAAAGAAAATTCCGCCCGAAAACTCTACATTTAATGGCATTTTTATTCCATTTATTATTTAATATTAGACGAATCACTCTTAGTGGTATCCGAGAAACAAAACATAGACCGTCCCTAAAATGGCCCGCTCCAAAATATAATGGATGATTTTGGAAGAGAATGCGCCTGTTATTACCTGTTTAATGACAGTAACACCTTAGCCAGTCAGATCCCGGCCTCTAATATCCCTAGCTGCCGCTTACCAAAAGCCGGCAATATCTAATATTGGTAATCAATGACAGTTAGTAAAAGGGATGCTTTCGGGGGGGGGCTGGATTTTTTATAGGGGGATTGAAAATCACGTTACTCCCCTTTGTTGATTGCCTTCAGCTGCTAGCCGTGATGCTCGCGTGGAAAAGAATGAATCGATGACGTCAGAGGGTGGTGAAAAATCTGAAAAACAATGAAGTAGAAAGTAGAAGATCCTTTAACTTGAGCCTCTTTGAAGATTGTTGTTTTAATAGATTAAAGATCAAATTATAAGGCTTGGAGTATGTTTTTTATTAACTTCGAAACTTGGGATCCTCTTCTGAAAGTCTGATCTAAAATGGATCCTATAAACTTTTAATTTATATCATTTAAAATGTAGCAAACTGTTAAAACAGTTTTTCTCGTATATATATTACCTATTGAATAAAAAAAGTTATCAGCAAATGGTATTTGTTTTTTTTTTACTCGTGTTATTAAACAAAGCTGTTCCTAAGGTAAGATCTGAAAAGTAAACAAAAAAGTAGTTCCTGATAAGAAACAAGTAATATAAAAAAAAGAGGAATTAAATCAATTACTACTTAGGTCAACAAAAAAAAATTTAGTTACCTTTTTATTAAATAATTAAAATTAATGTAAATATGTATACACATGACAGAATCACAATATTAAGTGGCAAAATAGAAAGTGGGTTTCCTTGCAATGTTCCATTTTCCTTTCTATATATGGTATTGGTTTGTTACTTTTTTGTTTGTTACTATTTATTCTTTAATTATATTTAACTATTCTAGTAAAATAGTACAGTGAAAAAGAAATCACATTTTCAGAAATTAAGTAATCCCAGGTGGGATTCGAACCCACGACCTTTGGATTTGGAGATCTCAACGCGCTGTCTCTACGCGCTTTAGGAACATAACGAATGATTTTCCTTTCTATATATGCTGTTGGATTGTCTTATTTAGGGATAATAAAAAAATTATGATTTCTTCTATTAAGCATTCATAAATTGTATACATCTATAAGATATTACATCAAAAATTATTTTTCAGTGCCCAAATGCGGAATACAATGCGAAACAAAACTACTGAGTAGAAATTTGAAAATATTCCACTTTGCATAAACCGTAATAAAAAACTAAAGGCTTGCTCAGTAATTATGTGGTATTACCTTTGTCTAATCTATTTTATTTTCAATGTTTTATATATTATTGTAAGCATATATACCACAGCAGTAATAAATGAAGTGCTTTCTTAGAAAACTTTATTTGTATCAAGAAATACATCGTAATTAATTTTTATTCAAATAAATAACATTCTTTTTCTTTAAAAGAAAAAAAAACTACTTTTTCACTGAAAACGAATAATGCCGAGTTTTACTAGAGTGTATAAATGGAAGCATAAATAATTCTCTGTGAGTCAATACCACATAACATTTGAAAAACTGGATAAAATGCTTACGCTGATTTGACGCGTGACAATTACGCAATATAATTAAATCAAACGTAAAAACAGGAACGTGAATGATCTTCAGAAGTTCTTGTTCACACATGATCGATGCCACTTGTTCCTGTCTTGTAATCACCCGAAAAATCGGATTTACAAAAGAATATTGACTTTGCTTGAGATGTAATGAGCCAAATATGATGGATAGCGAGACGAAATCTTTTTTTATATTTCGTGTCATGAGTTAGCAGAAATCTATGAGTTTGTTTATATGCTGCACTTTTTGATTTGATCGTGAAAGAACAAAAATTTAAGCAAAAGGCTCATTTAAAATAGTAAAATAATTATTGACTTTGATGGAATGGCCTAGTATGGAACATTTCCTACCCTTTCGCAATTTAAATCTCACGAAAAAAACTGTAGAACAGGAAAAATTTTTAAAGAATTAAAGGTAATTCAATGAAATGCCAATATATCAGAAAAATATTGGAAGATATTTCCGGTAAAGAATAACAAGTTTAAAATACGTTACTTGAAAGCTATGAAACAAACAAAAAACATTGAAATGAAATTAATATTTAAAACATTCTTACATTTTATTCCATCTAAAATAATTAAGAAATTACATCAGTTACTAGATTAAAAAGGTACTTAAATGTTGCATGTATTTTCTTAAACTTTTTAAGTGGTCTACGTTTGGTACCCTAATTTTGATATTGCGTATAAATTGAATTATTTTTTTTATATTTAAATTAGTTCAATTAGAATATATTGGTAAAATTGCTTTAAAAATATTATTACAAGAAATAATTTTTTAAATTGAAAATTTTGGTAAAAAATGAAGAATCTCCTTTTTTTAAAAATTGTTTCCATATTAATAATATTTTGCCTATATATAGCCAAGACTTCACATTTTCTAAATTATGATTAATTGAAACAATGACGGGTGTTTCTTGTTAAAGTTTCTCAACTCTGATATAATAAAATACGTAATAAATCGAAATCATATAAGTCAAAGATTTTAGCTCAACCCCAGTATAGAAGTCCTAGCTATACATAAGAAAAATATTATTATAGAAGCATTTTTCGTAAAAAAGAAATCTTTTGAAAATATGTCATTCTTTTTTCATTTTTGGCCAAAAAATTGCATTAAAATTTTTTCCTTGCAATAATATTCTTAAGTTATGTTAATAATTCGCACATACATCCCTTTCTCTCTCAATCAAATGATACTACACATCGAAAAAAACTATCCATGCATACATTTCTTCAAAATCAAGGTTCCGAAAGTACTCAGTCACTTTAAATTATTTTCATTTTATAAAAACAATAAATAAGTATTATGAGCCACGTCAAAAAAATATATACTGAATGTCACGGAACATGGTTACAAACAATTTACTACACATTTTATTCGGTTTACTTCCGAAAAAAAAAAAAAAGAATATGCTCCATGTTAAAAGAAGATGAAAATTTTCTATTTTCAGCGATGATCAAGATTTGGAGGCTTGATGAAGTGGATATAAAACCACTGATCCGCAATGGCAGTTGGGAAAAAGAAACATTCCTGAGAATAATTACGAAATATTTCTCATCAATCTAATAAATATTTCTGCCTAGCCTATTCAAATATTCTTTTGAACGGTGAGCGCTTGAATGCTATTCATGAAACTTAAAATAGTTTAGTCATGGAACCAGTATTTAATGCAAGAAATTAAGCACACTTCAAAAATTAGCTCATTAAAAAGTGGAACAATGAAGATTTTAAAAAAAATCTTTCCCTCTTATTTTGAACTGAAAAACTGTGTTTGCTTTAAGAATTAATTTATTGAAAACCAGATAGTTATACTTAGCAATAAATTTTGCAGTAAAAGGATTTTGAAACAACTAAACCTCACTCAGTTCAAATTAAACTTATATATTTATAAAACTTTCAGAAAAAAACATAAGAAATTAACAAATCTCTGAGAATAGTTAATTTTCCCATCACCTAAAATAAGTTTTTGCTGGTTAATAGTTTTGAATTTTTCCCACTATACCTTTATAAACTTGGAAAACTCACTATAAAATTAAGTATAAAATATAGAAATGAAAATATACTTAATTAGAATTTAAAATAAAAATTTAAGGAAATATGGTATTATGATGAAAATAAGAATAATCGTAACTGTTAATAATCGTAAGAGTAAAGATAACTGAAAAGTTGGTATATTTAAGAATGTGAAAGCAATTTCACAACTTGCTGTTACAAACAAAGCAGAAAAAGTCTTAATGGGTAATTTTTTTATGAGGCCTTTGTTTTACAAAATTGTTGAAAGTCTCATGAAGAAAATTGGAGGAATTATATGACTAAAAGTATTAATATGACAAAAGACTGTTTCTTTAAGACATGAAAAGTATTCCATACCTTTTACGTATCCGAACATTTTATACTATTAATAGTCATGCTGAAATAAAAATATTAAGTAGAAACTTTCACTACTAACGTCGTTGTAAATAAATAACAGTTATTTGCTTTCATTTAAAGGTTGAATGAAATTTTTGGTGTTTCCTTCTTTATAAATACTATTTATTTCATTTAACTTTTCATTTCTCTCGGTTTTCTATATTGAAAAAATAATTTTAAAGCTTATATTAACATCTTTATGCTTAGTTTCTTGATTGCAGCACACATATCATAATTTACGCATTAAATGAATAATGTATTGTAAAGAAATGAGATAAGATTGTATTTGGTACGAAATATACCTCTGCAAGAAACATATTCTGTTGACTTATTTAGTGATTAATAACTTCTCACTTCAAAGTTTTTTTAACGTTTTATAACAACGTAAACTGTTTTCTTAAAAATCTCATTATTGACTTTTTATTTAAAAGTACAACTTCACATTTGCTCATGTGAAGAAATTACGCGGTTGATTAAATTTATCAGAGAATCAAAACAACTCCCGTTTATACTCGGTTCGAAAAAATACGAGAGATTTTAAATAAAAGCATATTCGAAAGACAAATTAGCAATATTTAATTTATTATTTCAATTTTGGTATAATTTATAAGTTGCATACATACAAAATTTTATAAAAACATAAATGTCTTTAAAAAACAAAATTTAATGAACATTCAACACTTAATTATTTTTCACTTTTAAATTACAGAAGATAATTCATATAAAAGTTCTAATTAAGTTTCCAATAATAGTTCATAACATTTTAAGTTGATTTAAATCGTTAAACCGAAAAAAGCTGAAATGAAAAAATCTTATTTTAACTAGATACTTTAGGAAAAATATTTAAATTTATAAAATAAAATATACACAGTACTGTGTCTTTGAAAGTAAATAAAGTTCATAGATAAATTAAAATAAAAACAATAATAGATCATATTCTGCCATCTTCTCTTTAAATTTATTTTTTTAAAGATTAAGAATATTAAAGCTTTTGAATTGTGTTAAAAAATAAAGTTCGATTTGTATGCAAGATGTCCATTGTCTGTATTTAACTAAAAATATTGTAAATTTGAGATTAATTATTAGATAAACTTAGTTCAAAATTAATATTGGCAAAAGAAAGCTTACGTTCACCATTTTTAATGTTTTAATGTTAAAAATGGCGTTTACTACAGATTTGAATATGTAGTATCTACATTTTACATTAAGTATGCATCTATATTTTACATTACTTTATACAATTAAATTCTTAAATTACACATTATATTCAGTCAGATAAGTGATTTCTAAAATCGCTATCTTTCTTAATTTGAAGTAAGTAACTTTTTAAATAGCTAAAATTCAACAGTTGTTTTAAATATGCATAATCTTGTAAAGTGTCCTTACTTTTAATTTAGATAATTCGAAAATTTAATATCTGACATTTCAATATTTTAAATTTTTAATAAAGACAGAAATATGAACAATTTAAATAGTTATTACATGAAAATATTCAGAGAAACTAATGATTTTTGCATCAAAAAATTAGAAAAATTAAATCATTTTTTAAAAATTCAAACAATTTTAACAAACAAGTTTCTTAACCAAGATATAAAAAGTATGTGTGTGTACAAAGGACAAAAAGGATTTATTTATTTTAATGCATGTTTAATGTTCTCAAATATCTAAATCATATTTATAAGGAATACAATTCTAAATTTTTCTGATCTATTTCATAAATAACCATTGACTTATTAAAACTAATTCATATAATTTAAAAGTGTGGTATTTTCGCATCATAATCCATTCAAAATTTATGATAAATCTGATTTTTTTAAAATCTTTGTTTTTATGCAAGTAATATATTTAGTTAACAGTTTTTAGATCATACTAGTAAATAAAAGTGTAATTGAATTCCCTGTTTTTTTCAATGTAACTCGATATAGTAAGGTGTGTGTGTATGAGTGTTGTAATATTTCTTTAAAACTTTTAACAATAAAAGTAATTAACAACTGAAAATTTCTTTAAATTTTTTCCATAAAA